AACTTAGGAACCAAAATGCAACATAATAAATTATAGGGTTAAAATCAGAAGTATCTCATCATCGGTATGTTACAATCGATTTTAGGATAGGGTGCATTTTTTATGTAGAGGGGTTGTGTGATAACTTATGCTTCAAGGTAGCTTAGTCAGATCCATAACACTTTCCACGTTTCTTAGTTACGGAGATTCTTGGTTGACGATACAACGGTAGTACCGCTAGATGATATCAAGATCAATGAGCGTCTGAACTACATTGAGAGGCTGATAGCTATTATTGATCGAAAGAAGAAGGACTTGTGCAACAAGGTTGTTCCATTGGTCAAAGTGCAGTGGTGTCACTAGAAGAGCTCCGGGTGGACTTGGGAGCTAGAGTTAGAAATTAGGGAACATTACCCGTAGCTGTTCACTGCCATGGAATTCGAGGAAAAAGCCTGATCTAAATGGGGGAGAATTGTTAAACTCGAGTTCAGGTAAATTTTCTCTCATAATCCTCTAATTTTGAAGGTTGGCAGTTTTGGCCCTTACACGAGGCGTACCTAGGTGGTACGTTGGGCGTACGGGGGTTAAGTGAAAAGGATGTCGTTTCGAGGAGTATGATGGGCGTACTTACGTTGGGCGTACGGGGGTTAAGTGAAAAGGATGTCGTTTCGAGGAGTATGATGGGCGTACTCTAAGTACGCAAGGCATACTCTATCTAGACACAAATCCTAATTTTTAGGGTTTAGACCATATATATTGTACCTTAAGTCCCATTTCCTCATCCCATTTCTAGCCTCCATCATTTCAAATGTTTCCCCTTGAAAACCCTAGCCCCATTGTTGCATTTTGACCCTTGAAAGTGTGTTGTTTTGTGTTTCAAATGAAGAAGAAAGTGGTGGTGAAGCTTGGAAGCTAGAAGCAAGCTTGGATCCGGAAGTCTTGCATCATCCTTAACCTCCAGAAGGTATAAAGTTCCCACCTTGACGATGAAGTTGTTAGATCTAGATTAGATGGTGATAATATGAGCTTTTGTCACCAAATATGGCCTTTCGTGTGCATGGCATGTTATAGAACATTTGGGTTGTCCTTTTGGATGCTTTTCATGTTTTGAGTCATAAAAATATGATCTTGGCCCCTGAGATTCTTCCATGCAAATCATTAAGAGCTTTAGTGGTTAAGAAGAGTTGAAGTTTTGATGTTGGGTTTGTTCCAGTAATGTAAAACCATAAATTTGGAAACTTTATGGTTTGGCATATGTTTTAAGACTAGATCTGAGACGTGGACGAAATGACTTAAAGGATTAAGTCCTTAAAAGTTGGAATATTAAGCCCTCGCGTACGCTGGGCGTACTTGGACGTACGCTGAGTGAATGTTGTTAGAAGCCTGACCAGGATCAAGAGTGTGTGGGGCGTACTAGACGAGTACGCAGGGTGTACTCGGCCTGTGTTGACTTCGGAGCATTGACTTTTTGATCGTTGACTTTTGACCAAGTTTGACTATTGGGTTTTTGGGAGTATTGTAATCTAATACTTCGAATTGGGTCTCGGTTTATTGTTTAGGCAGATAGTAGAGTCGGCATGTGTGTTTCAAATTTTTATGCAGTTACTTTTTGATCATGAGGTGAGTTCTCTCACTATGCCAATGGGTCGAAGGCACCAGAGCCGACCCATTTGTTGACTTTATGTATCCTAATGTGTAGGATTGCTATGATAGTTCTATGTGTTAATTTTTTTTGTATATATATGTTGACATATGTGTGGTTGGGTTGAGGCCACAGGCCAACAAACCCGGTATGGTTGGGTTGAGACTGGAGGTCAACAAACTTGGTATGGTAAGGTTGTTGCCACATGTCAACAAACCCTAGATGGTTGGATTGAGGTGTTACTGCTCGTGTTGTAAACCAACAAACCCAATATGCTTGGGTTGAGGTCAAAGATCAACAAACCCTGTTTGCATGCTTGTCTTGTATATGTATTTTTTGTGGTGTGAGGTATTTTGGGAAGCTTACTAAGCTTTGGTTTACAGTTTGGATTTCAATGTTTCTGGTACTTTTGATGAGCAGGGAAAGGAGAAGGCGTGATTATACACATCATCCCGCAGTTTATGTTGATCGATACTTGTTTTGGTGTTTAGACTTATTATGATATTATGACTTGTAAACAATGTTTTGGTAACTTTTGGGCTTGTGGATTGTGCTTTTAAAATGAAAAATTTTACTATGATTTTAGAGACGTTACATCTATTCTCACCTTCTCTCTCACACACACAAACACAAATATATGTTTTCCCCTTTCCACTCTCGATTCAATTGAAAAGACGGAGAAGACACATAATTGTCGTGGTCGTCGACAATCGGGAACACAAGAACAATCCGATGGTGGTGGAGTTGCCGGTCTTGGAGAAGTTGATGTCAGAAAGCTGGTACAAAGAGGGGGGGGGGGGGGGGGGGAGACGAAAAATCAAGGATTTACAAACGAAATAAAATGAGGTAGAGCGGTAGAGGCGGTGATATTTACCTCTTCTGTTGGTGGTGAGTGGAAATTTCAACAAATGTAAAAGAAACCTTTTGATGAGTCTGTAATAAGCGAGGCGGTGGAGGAGCATATGGCAAACAAAACGAAACACAACTCGCAGGCGGAAGACACATTGTTTGTGTGAGTGCAAAGTCATCGGCTTCGAACCATTTGGTATTGGAGTCGGCTCCAAACCGGATACTCTAGATAAGAGTGTTGTGATTTTATTGTATGATACTAGAGAAAGAAGTTAGTATAAACAAGTTTAGCTCTTTGAATTTACGGTACATAAATGCAAACTGGGGGTAAATATTTGATTTCACAAAGGACAACTTTTTGCTGTTAATTTCTTGGGAATATTTTGATAGCATATCATAGAAGAGTAGAAAACAATCAAACCTTTCACGTTCTTCTATTGAATGTGAGCACATGGCTTTAGCCTTTAACTGTTACATGTGAAATCAGAAATCTTATATGTAATAAAAAATTTAATAACTTTGACACCGATTAATTTGTTTCGTAACAAATGATTATGCTATTAAGTTTGCATTGAATCTTATTCTTCATGACTTGAATCTAGTTGATGTGTTGTTACAAAAGCTTGATTTTAAACTTAAGTAAACAGTTTTCTACTTTAAATCGATTGATTTTATAAAAATAAATAGGATTAAAAGATAAAAACATAATGTAATAGATTTCTCAAGAAAAAACATATGTGCGTTCGTCGACATAGTAATATGAGTATTATAGTTATTATTAAAAGTTTTCGGATTCCGATGTCCTTTCTCTTGATAAGTAAAGAAAGTCAAAATATAGCCACAACAATAAATAATTTTCAATATATTAAAGATAATATGCCTCGAGTTAAACCACTGGTCTTCCTTAGGTTTGGCCACATTCTGTCTGTTTTACATGCACCGCACGTGCGCAACCCTATATGTTAGTCTAGAAGTTATTTCTAGATTCAAGTGTTATTCTTTTTTGCTTTTTATTATTATACTACGATACGATTTTTGATAAAAAGAAAATCTAATTAATGATAATTATTCAAAGTAAAGTTATTGTAACCTCTTGCATCATAATCAAACTTTATTTATGTTTTTTTGCATCATGATTTCTTTAAGAAGTTATTTATTATTATTATTATTTTTTTTAGAAAAAAAAAACTATTGCTGTTTGTAAGGAGGTAGTATATATTATTGAAAGTTGAAACCTTATCTAAGTGTAAGTAATTTAAATGGATGAAAGCATTTGCTGTTTGTTTGTGGTCATCATCTAGAAGACAGTGTTTGCATTTCTATTTTATTTTATTTATCAGGTGCTTTGTGTATGGATTATATAACTCGAATTTGTGGACCATGAGTTAAGCGGATTCCACGTGGTCAGTTTTAGTCTTTATTTAGAAGACATGTTATTTTAAAGCTTTACCATATATATTCATTTCACTGTTTATGTATTTTAACTTTTATAGTACATTACAAAATTTTCTCACTGTGGTTTGTATTCTTCTGCAGATTTAGTTCTAGTTTCGAAAATTGTGCGAGTGGTTAGGCTGCAAAATCTATCAAAGTTGGCCTTTTAGACAATTACTATCAATATTTTTCCGTTAAATATATGTAAAATGACGTGAATGTCCTCGAGCCAAAGTAATAAAACTCTAAACTTAAGGGTTCAAATTTGTATTTTACTTTTCATATTACAATCCAACTTATGACTTATTCAAATTTAAACCCTAAAAATATCTTAAAGTCTCTTATCATCTAAATTTCAGAGAAGTGCCACCTCCACCACCTATTCTGCCTCTATCACCTCCACCACCACCACACTCACTCTTCTGGTAGGGACAATGGTGAAAGTGGTGGAGTTGATGACACCCAATCGGCTAGTTCAAGAATGGAAAATGTGGTGTTTCATTGTTTAATACTTAAAATAAATATAATAAGAAAATGAGGATCAGAAAGGGACAAAACAGTGGAGATTCTCGTCATTTTACAAATATTTAACGGAGGGATTATCGGTAATTAGCCAAGGGACAAATCTTTATTTTTTTCAACCATAAGGACCACTCATGTTCTTCAAAGCAAAACCTACAGAAGGATGCAAATCACATGAACAAAAATTAATGGGTACTTTTCTCTCATTTGACAAACTTCATTTTGTGTTTTATTTTTTTGGTCTATTAAAAATAATTGTGATACAAATCTACTCGATTAAAGATCGTGCTGTCCAAGAGCTGCCAAAGTTATCCTATGTTGCAATATATTGCATCATTGATAACGTAATAACGACACAAACATGACGAATCTACCACAACTGTACATTAGTCTATTTTCTTAATAAAAACGAATCAAAACCCAACAAATATAAAACGGACACAATCACTTAAAGCTAAATAGCCAATCGACTTATATTCCTTTTTCCTATTTACATCATTTGTACGGTTGATAACGACAAAGTGGTCCATATGGACCATAAATGCTAATTTAATAACATGTGGTTTAGTTTGGGCTACGTCTTATCTCTCCTATCTCTCCTTTCACTAACCCGAACCGGTAGACCACCGGTGAAGTTCGCCGTGAGCCCAGGCGAAAACCGAGGCGTTAAAATAGGAACCACTAATTCGATATCAAACCGTTGTAGAAGAGAAAGAACAACACTTTTTATCTCCACAAGTGCCATTTCTTTACCTAAACACATCCTATGTCCAGCTTGAAAGACCGGGTACTTGAAAGGGGTTTCTTGATAAAACACACCATCTTTTAACCATCTTTCGGGTTTGAAACTTAAGCAATCGGGACCCCAAATGGTCTCCATTCGACCCATAGCGTATGGGTGGTATGTGACCCGAGTGCCTTTCTTGATGAATGTGCCATCGGGAAATGTGTCGTCTTTTTGACAAAACTTGGAATTGAATTGGATTGGTGGGAACAGTCTCATTCCCTCGTATACCACTGCTTGCAAGTAGTGGAGTTCATGCAACTTCCCATTAGGAGGTCCCATCAGAGCTTCGGCTCTGATGGCTGTTATCACCACTGGGTGTTGTGCTAATAACCAAAATAAACCGGTTAGAGCGGATGCAACTGTGTCGCGTCCGGCTAACAGGAAGCTTATGACAATGTCTCGAAGGTAGTTGGGATCTTTTGTTGAAGCCATGAATCTTGATAGAAGATCTTCGTGGGTTGAACAAGATCCTAATTTGTTTCGTTGTCTAATAACTTCTTGTGCAAACGTGTTCACCATCTTGATCGATTCTTTAAGTCTCTTTTCACTTCCAATATTCAAGATCCTTTTGATCTTCCACACCAATGGTGACGGAGTCATCGCTCTCTGAGCAGATAGCTTTGACGCCAGATCAAAAGACATTGCCAATTCGGATACGGGTAATGACTTGTCTAAACAGTTTGGGTCATACCCGAAAGAAAATTTACAAATTACATCAAACGAAAACCTTCGAAAAACATCTTGTAAATCCAAAACCCCATTTTGTTTTTGGGAGAATGATGAAACAAGAGGTATAAGCCTACGATCAATCTCATGTTTAACAACTTCAAGAGCATGTGATCTCATTGACATCTTTCCAAGTTCAAGACACGCCATTTTTCTCTGAAACCTCCATGAATCACCATCAACGTTGAAGATGCCGTTGCCCAAGAAATCACCTAAGATGGCAGAGAAAGGTTTCCCTTTTGGGTAGTTTTCGAATTGGGTTTTGAGCATGTACTCTACGCTTTGATGGTTGGATGTTATGGTGTTGTGAAGAACATGTATGTGTATGGTTTTTGTAGGTGAGTTTTTGAGAAGATGAGTGTACCAATCGCAGAGATTATCAAATTGGATTGACCAACTAGAGGTAATGTAAGCATGGCAGATTTCGCATGTGCAATGAACCCTAGTGGTGAAGTAGATTAAAGTAAAGAAAATAGAGAGCAATACTAAAATCACCATAATAATGGATGGATCTTCGATCGCCATTGATGACCAATGAAAACAAAAAGGGAAGTCTTCACGGGTTCAAGTGTATGTGAGTAAGAGGGGAGGGTCTTATATTCCATTCAAACTACTAGCATGTTGTCATAGCTTTTTATTTTTTAATTTTAAAATTTAAGTTTAAAAGTTTGACTTAACAAATGATATATATATATATATATATATATATATATATATATATATATATATATATATATATATATATATATATATATATATATATATATATATATATATATATATATATATATATATATAAATGAATATTTTTTTGCTACTTGTCACAGTCTTATTTAATTTGCCAAATGTTATTTTATGGTTATTTTGAATTAATTTGTTTTCCACATGTTATTTTATGAGTTTTCCATTTTAATAAATTCTATATAATACTATAATATAAAATTACAATAAATATAATAATAAATGAATATCAATTTCATTAATAGACTTACTTTTTTATGTTAAAATTCTCAAATTAAAGTTTATTAGTTTATTTTGTTTATTTATTTAAATTTAAAATATAAAAAATAAATTTTAATAATTTATTATTTTTCTTATTTTCTTATAAGTCTAAAATTTTCAAATATTTAGACCTTTATATTTAATTTTTTTAATTAACCCATATAATACATCAGTCTTACACCTTGTGTGTGTGTGCGTATGTATATATATATATATATATATATATATATATATATATATATATATATTCTAATAAATGAAAGTTTCTTGTCGCTTGTCATACTCTTATTTAATTTGTCAAATGTCATTTTGTGTTTATTTTAAATTAATTTTTTTTTCACATGTCATTTTATAAGTTTTTCTATTTTTTAAAATCCTCCATAATATTTTAATATAATAATTGCAATAAATATAATAATAAATGGATATCAATATCATTAATAAACTTAACTTTTAATTTCAAAATTTTAAAAATTAAAATTCATTAGCTTATTAATTTAAATTATTTGCTTAAATTTAAAAGATAAAAACATTTCTATTATAATAATTCATTATTTTTTTTTATTTTCTTATAAATCCATCTGAGAACATTTTGTGTATCTTTTTTTAGGTAACAAAATAATCAAATCCGAATTTTAAGGAACTGTTTTTTGTTTTGTTTATGTTTATGTTTTTTGTTTTGTTTTGTTTTTGTTTTTGTTTTTTTTTTTTTGAGAAAAACATATTCTAGGAAAACGTTTTTGAAAAAATATACATTCTTGATTGATTACGTTTTTACTCTTGAATGAATACGAATTTTGTTAGAGCAACACATTATTAAAATAATATCAACTGAAAAAACATAAACAAACAAACACATTCCTCAAGAGAATTATATCATAAAAAAAATTCCAAAAAAAATCTAGAATCATTGAAACATCCCAGAAATACGATCCGAAAATTTCTGGGTTGATGATAAATAGCGGGAGAATGATGCTTCTCCAAAGATCTAAGTTGCCTTACTCTTGCTGAAATGATGGCGATCATCAAGGCCTGTGATATTGATGATAAACAGCGGGAGATAAATCATGTGAATTCATACTCAACTGCAAACCTTGGGATATCATCTAACAATGCTCTTTCAACTCTCACCTTTTCCACTCCATCAGCTACTTCACTTCCTGCTGCATCATCTATGCCTTTCTCTCAGAACCAATCGTTTGTTGCTACTCAAGTTGCATCTTCCTCTAATGTGGCTTCTTCCTCAAATGCCAAGGAATGTGATGAAAATCTTGCTCTCGCCACAGGACTTGTTAACTGCTACAATGCTCTTGTAGCTGGAGATCTTCCGCCACAATTGTCATTTGCTAATCTGGATCAGATTCATCCTAAAGACGTGGAAGAAATGGATATTACATGGAAAATTGCCATGACAGTTTTCAGGGCAAAGTAGTTTGCGAAGAAGATAAGGAAGAATAACTGGGGGATGAGTGTTGATAAAAAAGGTAGGGTTCAGCAAAGGAATGCTGCGTCGTTTCAACTGTCACGAGCCATGTCATTTTGCTCGTGAGTGCCCGAAGCCGGATAGAAGATTAAACAATGACCAGACAATGGTTGCAGTGAGGAACAATCGAGGTGCTCAGGTCAACAGTGAGAAGGCTATTATTGCTCAGCCATTTGACTGGGAGGATCAGATTCAGGTCCTGAATATATCAAGACCTGAGAATGCTCATTTGGCTCAAGTTGGTGGTGAAGCTTCCGCAGAGAGTGTTGCAGTTGAAGATAAAATGATGGAGCTACAGTTTGCGCTGATGGTCTCTTCTGCTTCTGAACCGAAGAAAAATGAGGTAAGTCTGCTTTCCTGCTCTCAGGCTTGTGTTGATTATGTTAATATTCTTCGTGATGAAATAGATTCTTTACGTAGAGAAGTAGAGGACCTTAAATATGAGGGCTATCAACTTAGAAAAGGACAAAAACCATTAAAAGCCCAATAGAGAAAAAAATAAAAGATTTTAGGAAACTTCAAGAGGACTATAGTAATAAATGCGAAAACTATGACTATATTAAGAGACAGAATGTTGAGTTACTTGCTGAGCTCGATACATTAAAGGCCAAATTTGAAACTGTTGATTTTGATTTTAAGAAATTTGATGTGTCAAGCGAAGTAATTGTAAATATGATAGATCATTGTTTACAATTCAAAAATAACCAGCAGAAAGGTCTAGGATATGATAAAGTGCCACCTCCCTTTAATCATACATATCACTATCAACCTTTGTCCAATGAGGAGACTGCTAATGAACCATTCATGGTTTATGGCAAGCCTTATGGTTTTGTTTCGGGATGATTTATTAATGTTGAAAGTACTAACATTTCTACTTCCCCTGCAGATGAATCCTTAGATTAGTCAAAGCACGAAGTTGAAGGATATGTTTCCGATAACAAACCTGAGTCTAAATCTGAAGTTTTAGTTTCCAATAAAGTTTTTTTTTTTTTTTTTTTTTTTTTTTTTTTTTGTTTCTGTTGTTCAAAAAGACAATGTTTTTCATGATACTTCTGCATCTGTTTCTTTTGATTTAAATTCTTTTGAAATGTTTGATGATTCTATTGTTTGTGATGTTTCTAATGAAAATATACCAACTCTACAGGTCATTTTATTTGATGCACCCTCACTTATCTCACAACCTGCTTATTGTTCATGTTCATGTGGGAAAAGTAAGGGTGTTAGTAAAGAAAATAAAATTGAACAAAATTGTACAAATTCATATAATAATAAACTTACTTGTTTTAATTGTGGTATCGGTGGTCATATAGCTAGAAATTGTCCAAATAGTATCTTTGTACATTATATGTCACCAAGAGGAGAGAACGATTCTAGAGGAAGATCTTTAATTAGAAAGTCCTCAAAAAATAGTTCTTAGAATGATGATTGGGAGGATGATCGAAGTAGAAAAAGGGCAGGTTTTCAAAAGAATAAAAGGATTTTTCATGAAAAAGTCACCAACTGTTTGCCAAAATCGAACAAGGCTCCGCCAAGAACAGTTTTGTCAAGGAGTAGTCCTGGGTCTTCAACCACTTCTGGTAGAAAGCCCGGATGCTCAATGAAAACAGATAAGAAACACGTTTCAAAATCTCTAATGACTGTTAAGAAACCAAATTATCAATGGATGCCCAAAATAACTTCCTGTCAATCATCAGTATCCTCGGAAAAGACTTCAAAAATTGATAAATATGAGAAAATAAAGGGTAAACCTAGGAAATTAATGACCTGGGTTCCAAATCTAATTAAGCCCGCTCATCTTGCAGGGACAGTTGCGGAGGAATGTCGTCAGACCTTGGTTCATCGACAGCGGCTGCTCCCGGTATATGACAGGAGATATATCTCAATTGAACAACATTTAATCTTTTAGTGCGGGATATGTTTCCTTTGCGGGTGGAGAAGGTGGCTAGATTACTCAGAGAGTAACCGTTACAAATTGAGTGTTAAGTTTCGAGAATGTCAACTTTGCTCCCGAGTTAAAGCATAGTTTGTTGAGTGTGTCTTAAATATGTGACAAAGGCTATTCTACACACTTCACTGACAAGGAATGTATGATTCTCAAGCCAAGCATTGTCATCCCGGAAGAATGGATTCTTATCAAATCTAAGAGGTATGGAAATGCTTACATTATTGATATGAATATCAACCTTCCCGAACAAGTTACGTGTCTCTTTTCAAAGGTCTCAGAACAAAATGCAATGTTGTGGCACCGAAGACTCGGTCATGCTAACGCCAAAAACTTAAATCGTCTTGTGAAGAATGAGATGGTTTTTGGTTTGCCTGTCAAAGAATTTATAACTTTTGAAAAGTGTGTGTCATGTGCACAAGGAAAACATCATAGAAAACCACACCTGCCGAAACATGTTAACTCAATCAGTCAGGTACTCCAATTGTTGCATATGGATCTATTTGGACCAGTCAACGTTCTCAACATTAAAAGAAATTCATACTGTTTGGATGTAAATGATGACTTCTCTCATTTTACGTGGGTTTTCTTTCCATTCAACAAATCCGGGGTTGCTGATCTAATTAAGAAATTCATTGTGTCGATTGAGAACCAAACCAACAATCGGGTGAAGGCGCTTTGTACCGACAACAGAACAGAGTTCAAGAATTCTATTCTAGATCATTTTTGCGCAGAAAAGGGGATTATGCGTCAATACAGCTCTGTTTACACCCCTCAACAAAATGGTGTTACTGAAAGGAGGAATAGAACTTTAAAAGATGCTGCAAGGATGATGCTGTGTGACTCTAAGTTACCAGTTTTCTTTTGGGCCGAGACGATTAACACTGCTTGCTACATTCAGAATCGTGTGTTGATCAACAAAGCTCGGATGAAGACTCCGTATGAGATTCTATATGGTTACAAGCCACCAGTCAGTCATTTCCGTGTCTTTGGCTGCCCTTGAACCCTTCTTCACCTAGAGACCAACCCAAAGTTTAATGCCAAAGCCGATGATTTTTACTTCGTAGGGTATGCTGCACGCACCGCATATAGGGTCTA